GAAGGAGAAGAAGAAGAAGAAGAAGAAGAAGAAGAAGAAGAAGAAGAAGAAGAAGAAGAAGAAGAAGAAGAAGAAGAAGAAGAAGAAGAAGAAGAAGAAAACATTCTTAATCGAATGACTGCCTTATGAGTGGTTTTTGTTATTTTTCTCTAACTGAAGCAATTCCCGAATAGTGAAATAATCACTTATCCATGGTCTTATGGAGGGAACTTCAAGCATTTAAATGAAGCTAAGATGCCCATTAATTGTAATAATAGTGATTCTAATACTAATAATAGCCACCATTTGATAATCATAGCTGCTTGTCAAATACTATGCTGACGGTTTCTAAAAATTTCACAAAAACATTTCTGTGCTCTACAAATATATTCTCAGGCCCGATAATAATTTTCAAAGTTTGTGTTTAGTACAGCAGCAAAGTCTGCACATAGGCCAATAATATTCCATCTTCCCTTCCTCCTTTTTTTGTGAACTCCCTCAATTTTAGGTACATCAGTCCAGCTGCCCAGCTTTAGTGTCTACTCCACACATTCTCTTGCTTTTAGGTGTGACCAGTGGCCAAGTGTGGAACAATGAAATGTGAGCTGAGGATGTAAGCTCAGCCTCTGATATGCCTCCTTAAAGACTCTTTCCTGGGCCTTCTCACTCAGTGCTCACCAGATGAATAAGCTAATGACTGGCCACCTTGGGGGTCCTGCGCCTCCCTTGCAAGAGGACAGATTTATCCTGCCAGTCTGGGGGACTAGATAAACTCTTAGAGTGGAGTCCACATACTTGTTCTATATAGATGGCTACACAAAGGAAGGGAATTCCTTTCTTTTCTGAGTCATTATTTACATTTAAATTTCTTCTGCATTGGAGCTTAGCTAACATCCTATTGTAATAAATTTTCCCCCTTACAGTTAAGAAATTGAATTTCCAAGTGTTTATTTTCAAAAGTCCATATCATTGATAAGCAACTGAGAAAAATTATGCAATATAATGCTATGAGACACATACCTAATGTGAAAAAATATGTTTTAAAAACTGAATGATAGATATAAAATTAGATTTTATTTAATTTAATAAAGATAGAATGCAATGGAAAGATCTTAAACATATTTTGAAGAAAATATGGTAATGGAGTCTTCTCTGTTTCCATGTCTGAAACTTACTGAAGTAATAACTAGTCTCCTTTTTAGCATATTTATGTGCACTATAGTTTTTATTCATTCCTAGTGTTGCCAAATATTTTTATATACTATCACATTATTCCCTATAATAAATGATTTTAATATTCCTATTGATTAAATGCTAATTCATTGTTATAGTGAGTTTTAAAATACAAAATGATGGAAGAAAACAATTCTATTAGAATCAATAAATTACCACCCATAAGGACTTATGAACGTCTTTCTTTTATAAGTTTTGTTACTATTTTTCATGGCAAATGGGTATGCTTTGTTCATGCTCTGGTAGTTGCGGAATGATGATAGTTTGAAAGTGACTGACTTTCATTTCAGGGGAGTGTGCCTATCCCCTCTCTGATTATTCCATTCCTGTTCCCAAAATGGTTCCTTTCAGCACTGAGCATGGTCTACACACACACACACACACACACACACACACACACACACACACACACGGACCTTGGGGATATTAGCAGGTGAGATGTTAGGAACGTAGGAAGGATATATATCAGGTTGTCCTTGCAACCGTGCTGCAAAATGTATTTGTGCACATGAGCCAGAAAGGTAGGAAGATCATCACATAGGACAAGCCTACTAGAGCTTGTCCTTCCTTTCCTCATGAGGATTATGTAAAGTGAATAAATTACTTTGACTGTATTTCACATTGATAAATAAGGTGCTTCAAAATTCTTCCTAAATACCTTGATTTCATTAGATTATTGTTGAGCAACAGCATTAGTTAGGAAAAAAACAGTTTGACCTACAGACATGGTCAATAGTTTTAGCATTGTTATACTAAGCTATCATTTTCTCATTGCCAGTTTTGTGTGGAGAAAGCAAAGTGTTTCTTCTGAAAGTTATGTACTTACGTGACCTCTTAGTTCAAAGTGCATGTTTGATAAACTATAAACTATGGAGTAATTATAGCATTCAAGCATGCTTTATTTTTATGCCAGCAATTTATCCCTTCATTATAGGGAATTTGTCATATGGTTAATTACCATAGTTTATGAGAAAAGTCATGATTTTTCTGAAAGCCATGTAAATTGGAACATTTATTACACTTAGATTTTGTGAAAAGAATCATCCATGGAAACTGATGGTCCCTCATATCCTGAGGTCCACTAAATGTTCAAGTTATCAGTAACTTTATTACATTTGTTAATCATGTAAAAACATGAAAATCCTGGATGTATATCTGTAATGAGTTCTTGAAGCAATGAGTCCACATTCCTATAAAGGGATTCAGTATACTTTAGTGTGGTGCTTCTGCTCATAGTCCTGGAGATAGGCTGGCTGGGAATTCTAGAAATTTTGACTTTGGGTAACAAATTGAAATGCACAGTGACTATATTTCTTTCATAGTTCAATAAAATAATAGTAGAACACTTAAAACAGCATCTAACACCTCTCACACTTTTAATAATTACTATTATTATTACTCTTTAAATATTAAAATGAAGAAAGTAAATCAGGATATAGAAAGTTTTCCAATAGTTTTTTTAAAGAAAAAGTTATATGCATATACATTGTACATCAGCTTACAAACTTCATTTGCTCTACAATTTTGGAAAAGATGGTCATGCTGGTGATTGTGCAGGAAAGATGGGTGTAGTCCAGTTAGCCATCTGATTTAGTTAGAAAAAAAGAAAATTTTACCAGTTTTTTTGTGTGAACCAAAGTGTTTACAAACAAAAGCATTCATGAACAGAGGTATCGCTGTGTGTGTGTGTGTGTGTGTGTGTGTGTGTACAATGAAGTCAGTTACTCAAAGTACTGCATGAGATATTTATTTATAGTATGGCAGAAAGGAGTATGTGCACAAGAGCTTGAGAAAGAGACAGGCAGAAAGAGAGAGAGAAAGGTAGATAGAAATAAATAGATAGAAGATGGAAGATAGACAGTAGACAGACAGACAGACAGGCAGACAGATGATAATCAGAGCAATGCTTAAACCTAAGGAAACAGCTCAGATAGTAACCCAAAACTTTACCTATATTCTTCAAACTTTCTCTTTCCTACCTTCCTCACCTTTCCTTTTCCTCCTCTGGATTTATATGTGTAATGCCATACCATTC